AAGTTCGTATAGGGCATTAAATCGTTACCATAGCTTTGTTTACAATTCAGTTTGTGGTTGTTGTAATTATATTTTAAGTCATTCTTTTCCAAATCCATTATTAAATGATTTAAGCTGTTACGCAAGATTAAATAATGTTTTGAATAATTCAAATAGGCACAATCGTTGTCGCTAATATTATATGCATATGTTATGTTAGTTGGGTATTTAATATAATGGGGAATTATTAAAAGGGTAAAAAAAGAAAATATTACATTTAGCTGACGCTACAGATCGCTAGATGACGCTACTGTACTTTTAAAACGCTTAACGTCTTTACTGTTTTTCCGATTTTTATCAAACAAAGTCGCTTTCAATTTCAATTTTTTAGGGATTTAGGATTCTGTAATCAACTAGGAACCTTATAGTTTCGTTATGTCCGTCTGTCTGACCGTCGGTCCGCGGTTTAGCTCAAAAACGATTGGTATTAGAAAGGTGTAACTTAGTATAAGTATACACGTTAAGCATATCGAGAAAATGGTAAAAAAATATTTTAAAAAAATAAAGATATTTTCGGTTACCTACATGTAAAGTGGGGGATGAAAAAAAAATTTTCTTCCCACAGCATGAAGTGTCGATAGATAGTTAGAGTCAAATTTCCACCCTTTACCAACTAAACAGTTGTTGTTAGAAACTCAAACGTCACGACAGTAATATTTATATATAATGAATTTAATACGACAACTACCACTCTTAAATTAGCTTTACAATTTTACAACTAATAGTTGGCCAAATCTATGGCCAAACTCGCAGCCCGCGGCGCTTATCCACTAGATACGCCATCGAGATACGAATAACGTTTGACGTTTATAAAAAAAACTGTAATACCTACGTCTTATAATACTCACGTTTTCCGTCAAGGGCGCAATTTTGGCGATATCGAAGTCCAGGTCGCAAAACTCCTTGAAGCCAGGCGACAGTGTCACCAGGCCCCACGAGTCCCTCTCGCCCTCCACGCGGCTAGGATAGTGATCCACTTTCCACGTTTATGAAGTTCTCTGGTCTGGACGGACAGGCAAAATGATATCATAAAAACTCTTAGCTGTATTATTAGGACTGAAATATTTAGATCTATTAATTTTGTCAATTTAAATAGACAGGTATTTATAATTGAACAATCAAAATGGCTTCACCAATCACCCGTATTTATATAAACAAATTTATTGAGTCATTAAACGATATAATTTGCTAATATGTTGTTTTTGTTTAATCAAAATTTTAATGTTTTCACTCAAAAACTTATATAATTTTCAATGCAATAATTTATGGGTTTAATTTTTTTTGCGTGAAAATAATCAATATTATTAATATTTTTTTTAACAAAATCTACCAGTCCATCCGTCAGTTCTATTGGGTTTCGGGTAGCTCATTGGTTAGAGAAGTCACCTGGATTGCGAAAGGTTGTGGGGTCGAGTCCCATGTCAGGTTAAGCATTTTTCACTAAAATTATTTGCATTATGTTGGCAATACCGAGACAAAGAATTTAGAAATCCCAAAAAGTTGTAGACAGCAACAAGTAAATTAAAATCAAAGGAGAAAATACCTCTCGAGCACACTAGCGTAATAAAAATAAAATTAGATAATATAACATACATTGTTCAAATCCCAAATTAAGTAACTAAAACGGTTTCATTGTTGAAATCTGAAATAACGAAGGCATTATATAACGAACCACAACTCCCAGACCAGACCCAATATGGAAAATCATTTTTTTGCATTTAACCATCTGGGATTCGAATCCAGCACTAAAGAAATAGCGGTACCTTGAAACCGGCGAAACTATGCTCCTACTGAAATCTTTCACATGTGGTATCACCTCCGGTCTTTAATCGTATTTCATCGACATACTTTGTATTGTTCACGTAATCCAATTATTTCTGTATGAAACTCGGTGTATTAAATTAATTCGTAGTACACTTAAAGTATGTTCGGTTTTTTACTAATTAATTATGTAATACTTGTGTAATATTGTTTCTATATAAAGTTTGTGTTTATATAAAGCGAGAAATTGTTTAATAATAATAATTGTTCTTTTCGTAATATATACTATTTCATTTTCCAAAAATCTTTAGGCTATTTATATCATAAAAGATTTTGTTTAAACTGTTTTGTTTTTGTTTAAATTATTATATGGCATTATAAAAAAAAAACATTTGATTATCTAAATTTAGCTTTTATATACTTACTTATTATAAACCTATTTTTATTTTCATAAACATTAGTTCATAATAATAATAGTTTAATTTCATAAATGGCGTTATGTAAATTTTGACCTACAAACTTTCTGCCCGTAGCTTCGCCTATGTAGTCCCTAGGAGACAGTTTAGCGGGATAAAAAATATCGTTAATGTTGATCCAGGCTTAGAATCATCTGTATACGAAATTCCATCAAAATCGGATCAATAGTTTGTGCGTGAAGAAGTTATAAAAATCCAAACTTTCGCCTTCCATAGATTATTTACAAGAGTTAACAGTATAGAATATTTATATATTATAGCTAGATATAATAATAGAATAATTAATTTAGATATCATATTACATGAAGCTAAATATACAACACATTTAAATTCCCTATACAAACTTCCACTTCCATTTTCAACCCTTTATTTTCTGTTTTTCGAGATAAAATATCTATAGCCTATGTTCACCTAATATGTTGTAGCTTCCCTTGGGTGTAATGATTTTTAAAACCGGTCCAATAGTTTAGGAGCCTATTCGTTGCAAACAACCAATCAAATCCTTCCTATTTATGATATTATTATAGATCAGGGTTCGCTGAGAAATATCGATATATACCATGATATATATCGATTGATATATTTATAATGTTTTTAGTTTAAGTATTGAATCTCAGCTAGAACCAACCCGAACTAGACTTAATAGATCAAATTTAAATATAGCCACTAGCTGCCCAAAAATCGCAGGATTTCATATGCATGATATATATATATAGGTAGATTAAATTAGTTCGTAATCATTGTTGTTGCTAGTATAGAACTCTTTAGATCAGATCAGCTAGTATTTTATTTTTAAAACACTAACTGTTTCAATACAACTTACCTGCAAAACAACTCACTTAAATTCGAAGCTTTCTTACTGATATACCACAGAACCACTAGCACATATCCCTGGAGTAACACTAGATCAAATGTGAGTCCAGTACCTCCCATTTGACCCAAGACCTATTTAATTTGTCACATTTGTTGACCCCATGTCGTCTTCGTCATACTTACCGGCATCTTTCTGTGTCAATATTACTTTTAAACACATTGTCGTTTACTACATCGTTTAAGATTTTTAACCAAAAGTGCATAACTGAAAACTTTAGGTATAAAATTAAGGTGAATATCAGATTTCTATTAATATTTATATATTTTAAGGTGTCGCCTTATCTGATAATGTTAGATTCCCGGTGGGATCGATGTAGAATAAAGACTTTTTTATATTTTTTCCCGGGTCTGGCTGTTGTGATACCTTTGATGTGTAAAATACTCCATATTATATAGGGGTTGGTTTTCGTTCTCTGGCGACAAATGTTTGTTTTAGAAAAATAATATTTTAATTTTGTTTTATTATTTTATTCACTCAAAAACTAATTGATACATATCTATGGAATAATATGGAAAATAGAGAGTATCACTTTTTACTTATTCTGTGGTATTACACAAATGAAAAGCCGTGGGTTCACGATATTTTCTATATTGACTTTAAAAATAACCTATAAAAAGTATTTACCAAAAATATCAAAAAAGTTTTAATAAGATTGTCGTCAACAATCCCTGAGTCTGTAAAGAAAACGATTTCGAAATCAATACTGACGAAGTTGCAAACAGAAACATATTTTTGTTTTAGTTCAACTTGTGTATCTATCGCTTTATTTAATGTGCCTTGACTCATCGTAACTAAATATCAATCACGCATATATTATTTAACATTAAACTAGACTGTAATACTTATACCGGCCATCACAGATCGGTTAATGTTTCGCTCTAATTGTAAACTTAATCAACGAATAGTGGATTAATACCAATTATATTATTGGCATAATATTGAAACAATCGACTTATATTTTTTCATCATTATAAGCTTATTAACGCCTCTAGTGCTGGGACATTGATCTTCCCTGTGGATGGAATCTAATAGAAGGAACTGGCCATGACTCACACGGATCCAGTGCGGATTCATCATCACCAGCCCCTTTACGTCCCCACTGCAGGGGCTCAGGCCTTCCTTATGGATGATTAAGGAGGATGGGCCGTGACCCTCCACGCTGGCCCAATGCGGATTGGAGGGTTTTAACGACTGCAAATGCAGCCGGGACCAACGGCTTAACGTGCCTTCACGCACGGAGCAAAAGTAGCTCGAGATAATAAGTTTTTTGGTCACCCATCCCGTGACCGACCCTTGCGAAAGTTGCTTAACGACTACGATCGCGGGCCGCGGCGCTTATCGACTACGCCACCGAGCTACTCAGTGCAGATTGGTAAGTGTTAAAGACTGCAGCTATGATAAACGGCTTAATAAAACACGGGTAAGTTTGAGATAATATATTTTTGGTTACCCATCCAATGACCGGCACTTAATAAAATTCTTAACTTCTGCATCGCAGGCTCCTTGTCTATTTTGTAAAATTATAATTAATAGTTCTAAAACGATCAACTTTAAAGATCAATCAAAGAGAAAAATAATATTGTAATACAGTGAGAAAGTATTAAAAATAAATTGAATGTAAATTCTTGAAAGGATGATATAAATTTTTTTGTTAAAAGTAATTCTTATATTTTGTCATTTGGTAATAAATATGCTCTTCATAATATTAGTATAGATAATTGTTTACTATACAAGAAAAATGTTATTTTAACGTACTTATGCTGCAATGGCGACAGAAAGTTACATAATACGTCCTCCAGCCCTTTGGTTTAACTTATTTACATCGTATCATACTAGTTTAATTACTGTAAAGATAATAGAACAACCATTGCGCAAACTTTTTTATTATTTACATATTAAATAAAAGAAATCGTGATAAAGAAGTTAAAACAGGTAAGGAAAACAATAATAAAATAATGTGTTTAGATGTTATAGATTTTATTCCAAAAAACAATTTACATTACAAAATAAATGCGTCGTTTTATAAATCATCTATAACTATACTTAACTATCAGAAAAAGGTGGGAAACGTAAATTTATGGTTGAATATGTCATTATCGTAAGAGTTGCCAACCGTCCTGGGATGTCCTGGATAACTTTAGCATAGTCTTGAATTTTTAAACAGCGCCCTAGGTTTATTGTAGCTTCTTGAGTTTCTAAGAGACCTTGATAAGGCATCTTGTATTTAAAAACAAATACGGTGATTTTGCTTTGTGCAACAGAATCGACCGCTTCAAACATCACATTACAGTTTTTCTAAGTTAGGGTTGGCAACCCGTCATCGTCGGTTTTTTTAATTTACTTAAACGTTAAAAGTTAAATAACAAATATTATTACTTATATAAATAGTTTACATTTCTTTCGTGTAATGTATAACGGAGAGGGCCGTGTCGAGTAGATAAACTGCGCCCTGGATCACGCAGAGAGCACCGACAGCTAAACCCACCTAAAAACAAAATCTTATTAACGAAATTTACCAGTCGTACCCATTGTCGGAACTAGGGTTGTCTTATATATTAATTCAGGGTTAAAATTATCCGTATATCGTTAACGAAATTTACCAGTCGTACCCATTGTCGGAACTAGGGTTGTCTTAATTAAGGGTGAAAATTATCCGTATATAGATATTGAAATTAAGCTTAAAATCGAATTATAACTACAGATTTTCTTTAAAAATCAACTTTTATTAAACATGTCTTACATATGCAACAAAATTTCTTTTTTTCAAACTAAAGCATAAAATAAGTACTTGATAAAATTTGGCGTTAATTTACCCTTATTTCTAACAACAGTCTTATATGTTTTTAATTCACTCTTCATATAATAACTAATGATCAAATCGAGATTCTATATCATTATGACTATTTATTGTAATAAATGTTGAAAATACGCAAGAAATCATGGCATATAAATTCTCATCTCCGAGCCTGCTTTTGAGTAAATATAATCTGAAGCCGAAAATACTCTTTCGGATTCTGTGCTAATTGACTGAAACTTCTTCAGAATATGTTCATAGGCCATCGTCAGGTACACTGCTCTGATACCATTGGACTCAAATAACGCTATTTCTTTTTTTTTATTTTCTCTCTAATCCTTTTTCTTGATGTCTTGCTTTTTCTTTAATATTTATTTTTCTTATCGAAGCTGATTTTCCAATTCGTCTTTTAGTGTAAAAAGGCACAGCGCTAATTTTCCAATTTGTGGGAATCGCGAAACCACGTTTTTTAAAACGCGGGATCCAGCAGACTTATAAGAGTTTTGCGGAGTCGCAACCCTATCCGTATACTAAATTTCATCAAAATCTTTTAATTAGTTTTTGCGTGAAAAAGTAACAAACAAACATACATCCTCACAAATTTTACTTTCATAATATTAGTAGAATTTGAGTGATTGATATAAATCTGACCTGTCTCTCCGTGGAGAAGACCTGGAATTGGTGCTCTCCTTGGTAACCGCCCCAGTAATGTAACGCCACCGCGCCGACTGCCAGCCACATGAACACACCCACGAAGTTCATCACTATCTCTGACAGAGCTCTGGAATTATCATATAATAACATTTATATTGATCTAGCTAGTTTTGCTATCCTAGACTTCGCCCTCGTGAATTACAGGGCCGGTAGGGTAGGATACGGCAGATGACCACAAGCCTTCTTGTCTAATTCCAAATCTATCGCAATCCCTTTCAAAGCTATAGCAATTGTGATAGCGTTTACTTGAAAGCCTTCCGTCAAAGTGAAATCCTCAATCGTCGTTTGGAACAAATGTAGATTTGAATTATCGAGAAACATAAAAAACTTTGGAGCTTCACCCGCATGGTCCTGTATTACACATATAAACCGCATTAATATCTGTTCTGTATTTTAAAAGATCTCGCGTATAGACGTCGGGAAGCCACTTTCTTTTGTTCTATGTATAGATGTAGAACCTCTCTAGTCACCACGGTAACAGTTGACCAAAGACAGAAATATTTCTTTCTACAAGTCTGTGCGCAAGTTCAATAGATCAATATTAAATATTTATTATTATATTCATGCCAGATTACTTCTTCATGCCAGATCAGTTTCTTCTCTTCTTGCATGAGCTATAGTTACAGAAGTTGATTTACCTTTTATGTTGTGTAGTACCAAAGAGGAAGGTGACGATTTGTACAAGTGTATAGATGAGGTATCCGACGATAACGCCAGAGGCAACGATTTCAGCGTCCGGATTTTTCTCCTCGTTGAGGTTCCACGTGCCGCCGACGCCGAGGAACTCGCCATTGTAACCGGTTCGGTATAACACTAGAATTACGATGTTCAGAACCTGAAAATGTGAATTTGGCTTTGTAATTTTTGAATCGGATCTTCGTTTTACATCAAAGAATATTGGTCTTCATACCGATCAATCGGGGCCTATTCTGATGCATACGAAACTATTTCATAAGCAAGATACTAAAGTAATTCAACTATAAAAAGAGTTATTAAAATAGTTTTTTTTAATCAAATGAATAAATAAGAGCCAACATTTATATGAAAAGTAAGATTGACTTTGTAAATGTTAAAATTTGTGTAAATTAACTGAAGTTGAAGAAGTTGGTAATAATCAAAAAATATTCAGTCATCCTTCGAATACTTATGTTCATTTGAAGATTAGATATCGACAATCTATTTTTCAACATTAATCAGTATGACGCATAAATTCTGCGATAAAATAGTATATGCATTTACTCGTAAACTAGTAGTTCCGACTATTATTGTTTGCTATATCATTAACTGCTTCCGAATAACTCGTACTCTAGTTTGAATCACTAGACGTTGACACGGTGACGATTCGCCTAAAATATTTTTTTATCTAACTTCAGTACTTTAAAATTATGTTTACTATGATCTCATTACTCTGATTAACTACCAATATAACAAGATTTATATTTGTTAGTTGGTTAAAATAACGGTATAATTTACTTTAACTACTGTTACGGGTTCGGTGCTTAGGCAAATGAATAAAAGGCTGACTAAGCTTGAAAACATGATTTATTCGAGGGTAATAAGAGAAAAAAAAACCGTTTCTGGGTTTTCCATATCAGGTAGAACTTAGGAGATATTTCATGAAGATATACGTTTATATTTTTCTTATTTAAAGTATAATAACTTTATTATTGTTAGGTATATGTAATAAAAAATTTATGAATAAATTATCATGTTTTCACCAGATTAATTTTTTACGACATTCATAAAGAGCATACTGGATTACTCAAAATTTCAAATTACGAAAGGTAATATAAAGAAATGATGTTGAAGATCATAGACAAAAAGTTTGAATACGGATACCTAGGACGAAATAAACGGTGGTTCGGCGCACCGTTACAATACCTTGATCGCGTACGCGGCGCTCATTCGCTACTCCACAGAGCTACTATAATATTAACACATTGATAATAATAGAAAAATCATCAAAATACTATTATTTATTAATCTATTAAATGTAACTTTTAAACTCAATTATTGGTTGATAATCATTCACATTCTTAACATATTGCGATGGTTCAAGTCGCATTGACCTGTAGTTAAGCATGTTATCGGTTAGTTTGTGATTAGATATGCATTCCCTTCGCAAGAATCGCTTTCTTTTGCAATATGTGTGGTATTAACAAACTGTGTAAATTAACTTTTAAAGCAATGACGCCTAATAAAGCCAAATTTTTTCACTGCTTAAGCATTAAAAAGCCAAATACAACTAAATCCGCACTGACCAATAAATACAGATGTTGTATTTATTGGTCAGTGCGGAGAAGAATGTTATTGAGTTTCCGTGTTCTATGTTGAGAAAAAATTCAGTTTTTGATTATTTTATTGCATGCTGTTTAACGGTAACATATCAGCATCAGCCCTTTACGACCCCACTGCTGGGGCTCAGGCCTTCCTTATAGGATGGTTTTGTAAAAAAAAGGTTGTGTGTTCTGGTGGAGGTGGAAAAAAAAAAAGAAGTTTAGGCCATAACCCTTGACGCTTTTCCAATGCGGATTGGAGGGTATTAATAACTGCAAATGCAGCCATTTCCAACGCCTCAACGTGCCTTCTGAAGCACGGAGTAGCACGAGATATATTTTTTTTTATAGTAATAGTTAGTTTTTTTTGGTCACCCAAGCCGTGGCCGGCCCTTGTGAGTGTTGCTTTAAAATACCAAGCTACTCAGTAACAGTAACATATGAGACATTTATATTATTAGACAACTTTTTAAACTATTATTTATCCAAAAAATTAACGATCGATTGAATTCTATATTTTGAACCGTTGATAGAACCTTGAATTATTCACAGATTACTGTGCTACTGAGATTTGCACCATGCTACAAATAATGAATCCTCCATCGCTGATAATCTTGTGCAAAAGGGAACATATGCAAATACGACTTGCTGGACTGATTTTTTTTTACATCGATCGTGGTTTTTTATCTTGAATGTTAATAAAATCAGTTAACCTTACTGACGTCAGTTATCTAGAACTCGAAATGATGATTCTATAATATTTCATACATCGTGACGCATCGTTTGTCTATGTTCAATTTAAAAATAACATAACGTTTAAGAGAATCTTCAAACATTAAGGACAATGTTTTTTTATTTGTTTATTTAGTTTTAATTTGTGATTTTCGTTTAAGTTCTTTGTTAAATATCATAACATACAAAGCTAAACGAGGTAGGATTAGACAGATATAGGCATTAGAAAACATCACATACATTAGACATCTAAAAAACCTGTGAGTTCCTCAAGCCGGTCGTCAAATAAAGTCTGTTATATTTCCATAGTAATATGAAGTCTCTATTAAGATGAAGGAAGGTGTAGAATTATTTCAATTAACGACACGAGCGTCCTGGGTCACGAGTTAACATTGTCGAGGAGTAGACAGCATCGCACAGAGTAGACAGCTCACAGAACACACAACTGTTTGATCTTGAAGTATTTTTCTTTTAATAATGTAATGGTGATTTTAATTACTTTCCATTTAATAAGGATATGTATTCATGTAATAGGGATGAAAAGAAAATAAATTCTATTTAATCCTATACTAAAATAATAGAAAAATATTAGAAACGTATTCAACTATGCCTCGATTTAACAAGAAATGGCTTATATAAATAGGAATGAAAGTTGAGGAGAAGGTGCTCACTACGTCACAACTATGTAGGAAATGTACAAAAGTATAAGAAGAAGAAACATTTAAGAAACATTGTATAACTCCGTTGATGTGAAAATACGGCTGTCAAGTTCAACATTTGAGTTGCTTAATACTTTGAGATATACTGACCATGGCTGAAAAATATTAATTTCATTTATTTTAAATAAAATCTCAAACAGATATTGAAATAATATGAAAACGACATCTTTCAATAGCTCTTTAAAAACTGTGAAATTATATAAATTGTGGGAACTACAGAAAGCATCAGTCGCGGAATACAGCCTTAAAGAAGATTTCGATACTTGTAATATCTACTCTCTGTGTTCACATCTACTCTGTGACCTCCCGACAATTACAAGATGTAATCATAATAAACGAGTGTAATTGCCGAGCTCACAGGAAGCTTAAGTTCAACCAGTGTTAATGTCTTCCTCTCTAATTTAATACAGACTTTATGTCCGATAGCCAACCCAATAACGCTCTGTCACATCGCAAAAAATCAAGACACCATTAATATACTAAAGTCAACATCGGTATTCACATGTAGGTCGGTGGTGTAGAGGACAAGCGCTGCGGACCGCAATCATAATTGTTAAGGAATTTTCTCAAGAGTCGGTCAAAGGGATGGGTGATCAAAAAATTATTATCTCGAGCTACATACTCCATGCTTTAGAAGGCATGTTAAGGTGTTGGCATCGGCTGTATTTGCAATCGATAATACCCTCCAATCCGCCTTGGGCCAACGTAAAAGGGCCATAGCCCAAGCTCCTTAACCACCCATAAGAACCGCTGTCATTAATAATAATAATTATGGATTTAGCAGAAGTGTTATCCAACCAGCACCAAAATACATGTCAAAGTATGAAATGAAATATCGCCGTAACATCGCTAAGATATCGTAATAAATACCGAGATACAGACCTAAGTTTTATTCATATTGTTAGATTAAGATTTCTTTAACTTTTTCCGTCACCCTAAATTCATGGTATATTATTGTTACAAAAATATAACCTTTTTTTTTATTTTATTTTTTTATCGTCGAGGAAATGCTTTTGGCACTATCTCTGTTACCTGGCAAGTAACAGGGGGCGTGTGGGACTCTCCTCCGTGAATCCACTCGGCAGGTGAGCTGCCCAGTGAGTTCCCGGAGGCCTACCCACTAAAACCCCTACGGTGTACCCTCTCCTGGGAGATGAGACCCGGGAAGCCGTGACCGAGTCGCCAGGACACTCACCCCCATATTCGACCATTGGTCCCTTCGCGGTTTGAGAGGCTCGGGTACGTCGAGAGCCTCTCCCAGACAGGCATGCGAAACCGTGCAAAAAACCGTATCGTATATATAACCTGATCTTTAGTTTAATAATGATTTCAATTGTTTATAACAAGTACCTACTTGCATATTAGGATTTTCCCAAATAGCTAACATATTTAATTTTACTACTTAACGTTGTTAGGATGAACATAATAAACTAGTTAATTTGTGATTATTAGCCCTTAATTGCATTTAAAACAAAGGCTCATCACAAAATATTCATCAAAGCAAAATCATTTATTTCAGTGTATATATTTGAATTCACAAAGTTTAAAATAATAAAGACTAAAAATAATGACCTTACAGATTAAATACGAGGCATGTGTACCAATATCAAATGAACTTTAACCCAAACTTTTGCTAAATATAGTTTTAGTTTGCAACATCGGAATACTTTTTATCACTGAAATATAATCTGCAAACCTCTCGCGGTAAATAATAACATCAATTATATTTGGCGTTTGTCCAGCATAGTCTTATTTGTAGTCTTTCATTATTGCTTACGAATAACGTATATTTGTTGTGTTAAAACTGTTTTCTGCTAGACAAACAATAAGTTTCACTTGTGTTATTCACAAATCTATTGAGAAAGACCATATATTGAGAAGTATATATCCTCCTTATCATATTTTATTTTTTATTTTCTTTTAGTTTGTTTATTTATTTAATTAAGGTATCCGCTGAAAATCAGCGCCGTAGCTTAAACGCTGCGGCGTATTGCTGAGCGGAGACCTTTTTAGTACCTAATTTTGAATTTTTCCATTATCAATGTTATATACCTGTAATTTGGTGCTAAATAAACAATTTTCTATTCTATTCTATTCTAGAAGTAGTCATTCATAATCATCATTTGCTTGTTCTCGTACCAATATATTTATTTGAGACAGATGCAATATGTATCCATTAACTATTTTGATAACAACATTCACTCCTTCCTTACTCGTGTCTTTTACATGTTCTTTTAATCTTTTCTTCTGTCTCCCTCACCTTTTATTGTCATCAACATTCATACCATAACCTTTTTTGTCATATTGTTTCATACAGAGTCGTCGCATTATAAAAGTGGTTTCAAGATTCTTTAGGCTCTACATGTAACAATAGTGCGTAATTGTATTACGCATCGTGCTACCGCTAATATCTAAGCCACGTAACGTTACAAAGAATCAGAAGCACATTAGCAATAGAAAATTACATAAAGCAAATCGATCACGTACGTAATAACGCATTATGATCGTTTCAAGGTAAATGCAACGCTTCAGTGTCCACGAGACGCCCTGAGGGCCCATTGTCTGCTCACAGATCAGGGTTGACTACTCACGGATATAACAATATTATAAAAAAAATATAAACTCACAGATTATCTTACTATGGACATGTGATGAGAAGAAATGGTTTGCTTGTAACAAAAAAGGTTTTAAGCAACGATTAGAATAGATGTATAAGGAGAAGAAGACCGATAGGATAGGTAGGATAGATAAAAGGGGTTTACTGTGTAAGAAAGGGGTAACTGCTGAGATAATGGCTGATCAGGATGCATGGAAGAAGAATCCATATTGCGACGATTCAAAATATATAATTAGGAATAAGGGAAGCAAATGAACGATAAATTTGCCGAGGTTGGTAAGACCACATTTGAAAAAGGGATATTGAGTATATTAACAAGGTGATGCTAAACATCAAGAGCAGAACTACAAGGCATAAAGAAGGATTTAAACCCAGATGAACTATGATAAAAGAGAAGTGATAAAATTCTAGAAAAAAAAAACCAAAAGTATTTGGATAACAACGTAACATATTTTACTTTATATAGTTCAACAGCGAAATTTAATTTAGTTATTCTTCGACAACCTTGTATCTTATAATCTTAGACGCTAACAATCAACATCTAATCAATTATTAATGTGAGCGAGAAGCATCTGTCCGCCGGGATAATTCGAGTTATGTTTACAAATAACTCTACTGGAATGCATTCAATGTATATATACTGACCGCCATTTTGTCAATCAAGTAAACCAAACATCCTCCAAAGTAATATACTTACCTGTGTATGCAACAATGATTGATCATGTTGTTTTTATAAATTTAAGTCTATTATCTGTGGATGGTTAAAGAAAAACATTTTACTGTATTTAAGAAAGTTATTAAGGTCCATTTTTTATATAAGTACTACTAGCTTTTCGCTTGCGGTTTCATCTTCATGGAATTCGATTATGATAGCCCTTCCTCTTTCATCCTTAAACTATCCTATATTTTCCAAAGGTTCAATTCTTTCTGTCTATCAAATTTCATTAAAATTGTTATTCAGTAGTTAAAGCGTGTAACACTTTCGCATTTATAATATTAACACGGATTGAAGCAAAGGCATACGGATATAGTGAAATAGGCAAATGAGCCAAATGCAGACTGCAGACACCAGAAAACATCTATTTTTTTCCAAAACATGAAGGAACTTAAAATGTTTAATTAATAATATCATATACTATCTGCTACCAAAGTTTATCAAGAGAATCATATTCAAAATAAATAAAAATGACAAAAAAAATTCTCTACATTGCACTGTTGCTAAAGATACGGCGTACAATCACAAGACAATATAGAAAAAATAATTTTCTATATTTTCGAGACCGCACAGATGGTGACACCTTGAAAATGGCATATGAGCCTCTCGACCAAAGAGCTCGTAATGCGGTCGAGCAAATTAAAAAGAGTTTCAGTTAAAACTGATAGAAGTCAAGTATATAATTATGACAGTGATGGAGACGAGATTAACCTAAAAAGTTCATAGTTGCCCTTCGAGATCCTTTTACATATTGCTAAACAAGAACAAACAACAGCTTATCTGATAGGGCATTACTCATGGCTCTGTGGTCGCCACTGTGCACTGCATAATAACTATGTGACTAATTTTATGACTAACCTTTTAACTATGTTTAGGCCAATATAATGAAGAAGTACTTATGAGATCTAAGTACATACCTCAATTTTCACATCTTGAAAAATTTAATATTACAACAACAATATTTCAATGATAAATGTTTTATGTCTTTATAAGACCTGGTTTACACGTTCACTATGTATTTTTAATTACGTGAGAAATATTTAATTTGCTGCGGGAAAAGTATTTACGAAAATTAAAATTATTCAAAACAAAGGATTTATATAAAAATATGGTTTAATGTCACAAAATAAATCTAGATGGTTACTAATAAAAAAAAAAATCTTCGTTAAATTACTTTGAACTAGCACGGCTACTTCAGTTCTATGTTTAATATTTTTTGTATATATTGAAAATTCCTCATAAAATAAACAAAAAAAATATTATTCAGAATATTTTCAATTTAGCATTGTGAATGCATAATTGATCAAATGTAATAAATATATCTTTACTTTAAATATAGTGCGGTTTTATATTAAATAAAATAATGCCTGACCATCTATTCTGCAACTCAATAACTCATAATAATTACATTTTATAACCTTTATTCATATCAAACTTTTTGGTTTGGATTGGCAAACAAATAATGTCAATGAGCCACCAAATGATTCTCGTTGTTTTATATCAACAAGGTGTGGTGCCTTATCAGCGTGATAGCAAATGAGGCCGCAAGGGCCTTTATGAGCAGGCATTTTGGAGCGTAGGGCAAACCAATTTTCTACTTAAAGATAAGAAAATATTTAGAACATGTTTAATTATGTCTTGTGAAATTCTAATAGCATTAAGATTTAAAGTTTTGTTGCAATTAGTCATATTTTCCTTATGAGCGATGATTTATTAATGCGAAGGCGTTATTCAGAGCGTCATATGACCATAATTACTAATGAATCTGAAAGTTAATAAACTTAGAAATTCAATTATTTGTTTTCTTTAAAGTCAGAGTATTGTAACATTGAATTATGACCTCATTTCGCGGTAAATCAATAAAACATTCTATATAAAGCATATTGCCTGTATTTCAGGGCATTGTATAGGCATATTACAGCAGTACTATATAGCTGTGATTCATCTGTTATTAATCATATATTGATTGACAGTCTATTATTTATTATAATTATTTTTTCTTAAATTACTTTATGAATTACGGATTGTATCTGTTATCAATTTGAATATGTTAAAACATAAATACATTTTTTAGATTCCAAGCAAAGACAATATTTCGAAAAGGTAAATGATCCTCATTATGTTCATTTAAAATTAATATGTACTCACTATTTTGAATATTTTCACCACAATCGTGGCTATAGTTTGCACAGACACCATTTTCACTCAATAATTTATCACTTTTTTTATTATGAAACTGAAAACTAACACCGAATGATTTGTAATCCCAAAAATAGGTTAGTTCTTTGTTTCTCTTTCATATAGATATTCTTTTGTTTTAAGTGTGTTTTCGTGAACAGCTCATTCGTCACTGGGTGATAATTCGTTATCACCCAGTTTAGTTTTTATCACTACAGTCCTGGGTTTATCTTATCAGTTCAGCGAATTACTAGGACAGGTACTACTATATCCTCGGCGGTAAATGAAATATCGATATTGGTTCTACCGTTTATTTTAATAAGGATTTTCTTCATTAAAATTGTCAAGTCATTTTTATGTTTGTTTTTATATTTATGCATATTTTATTTGTCTTTGATGTGTCAGTTTTTGTTTTCTACTCAGTTAATTCTTGTGACGACGGTAGCGCAAAGTTAATTAGTAATATTAGTAGTATGTCAACAAATATATGAGTCATTTTACAAAGTTTCACACTTGCTGCAGCTTAGAACAGGATTATTCTATTTATGAATGCACCTTTGCCTTTCCTATGAATGGGCCATGATCCACTACGTAAGCCCAGTTTAGGTTGGCGGGTGGTTTTGATGCAGCCAGGACCAATGGCTTGATGTACCTTTTGAAGCGCGGAGGAGCTTTGAGAAAACTACATATTTTCTCAAAGCTCCTCCGTGCTACAATATGCCTTTTTTATTGAGTTCCTCGTATATCGGCACTGTTGCAAACGCCATGATCACGGAGTAACTCCATGTTAATGACCATGTAATTTAAAAACAACAGGTTTCAAAGTGTCGCCTTCTATAAGATACCGGGTTCCATTTCCATTAAATTACACATTAAATTTACGACCTAATTGATAAAACTAAACACTGGACAAATGCCTAGTAACGTCCAATCCTAAAAATATTACGAATATGTTACTATACTACATTGTTATATAAAGATAACGGTAACCAAACTCTTTTGAGTTGTAACTTGCATAACTTAAATACACACAGCAGTTTATAATTTAACCACAAGAAATGCAAATCGCATTCAATTCAGAACATTAGTTCCGACTTATTAAGGTTTAAAATCGACAATATAAGTTCGAATAACTGTACGTCCACAGCGTATGCTTCAAGAAATTTGTCACACTAGTAGCTACTTTAAGTATAAAGATGGCACAGATTTAATATAATGTTTAGTGCAGACATTACGGAATTCCTTCTGGCTGTGTTATTTTCACTAGCCCTTTGTACGTCTACGCCGGAATAGAAAGCGTAAATAGCGGTAATCCACAATGAAATAAACAGTCATTGTTAAATTATTAAAAAAATATATCTATAGTAAAACATTGCGAAGCACTTTATGTAAAAAAAAAACAATTATTAACTTGGGATGGATTTCATTCATATTCCACCATAATTGTAGTTAAATTTTAGGTTATATCAAATTTGACGTTATCTGTCACGTTAACTTTAACAATGACTGGAATGCGTTGCACCCTTACAATGCTATTAATAAACAAGATTTAGCGTCAGAGTAAATTTACGCTAAAATTGCATTTTTAGTATGAGTCATCCAATTTTAGTATTACTCCCAATTTATATTTTACAGATAATAAGCAAACCTACTAACTTTTAGGAGTAAATATTACTCCCGAAAAACATCGTCCTATGTTAATCTTTGCCAAGTTTTTTTTTTATAATATGATTTTTTACTAATACTACGTGCAGTCTCAACGTAAATTTACTCCAACGCTTAACCTTTTTTGTCAATAATACTGTCAGAATATAGTTATTATTCTAAGGTTACACCATCCTCTTTCTTGGCAAGTTAAAATGGCGGCTCGTTTAATATATTGGCCCAGAGGTTTGCTCGATGTAGTAAGTTGACCAAAATTACACAAAAATAATTAAATTTGTAATAACTGACATAGGTTTAACAATAAGTGCTTGAAAAATTCGTCAGTCCTAACAGGTCCTAGAGAACTCAGGGGTTAAAGCAGTCGCCCGGATTGCGAAAGATCATAGGTCACGAATCCCTTCTCAGAGTGCCAGAGACAAAGTAGATTTTATCAAGCGTTTTTCATTAAGAATATTTTCCAGTATAACATTGTGAATGAAAAATTGATCAATTATAATAATTTTATTATTATTCATACACACATTTCTGGTTAATTCTTAATGTACGGTAGGCGGTACAAGCGTCTCGCGAGTGACGCGACGTACACCAAGCAAATTATAAATGTATAAAAAAATAAAATTCAAATGAAGAATGTTATAATTTTTTCGAAGGAAGCTAACTATGCTAACCATGATTAAGCAATGAGCGTTAATTCAATTTTCACACTTTGCCTTAGCCTAGGACTACAAGATTAAAAAAGAAATCCAGTATGATTGTTATAAATAAATATAACATTGCCAATTAAAAATATACTGTTACTTTTAAAAATGTCTTATCTCTGTAAATAACATACCTAAAATAATTTAGCTCATTCCTTAAAGGCATACCATTCATGGAACATTGTTGTCAACAAAAACTCTACAGAGTATTTTTAATAAGAAACAGATTTATCAGACTATAAGAACCTGAAGATTGTTGAAGCCGACCTATTTATATCTGTAGGAAGTTAAAACTTCAATGAATAATTCACTGACGTACTAGAATATGCGTAGTGATGATTTTAAAAAAAATAAACCCCGTTGATGTAGCTATCCGTAGGTGAAATAATTTTTCATATCACTCCAGTAGTTTCGGGGCCTGTTCGATGCAAACAAACATATAACACAGTCAAATCTTTCTTTTTTACAATATTACTATAAATAAAAAAATATATGAATAGGATTTTTTTATTATTATACGTAAATACATTTTTTTTTTATACAATATAACTTCACGAAAAACAAAACATAATTTTAGCTTCACTGTACACGGGTTTAGTGGACACTTCAATTTTTTTTTTCTAAAAACTAGAGGTACTATTTTTAATTCTCGATATTATTAGAATAAGACATTAGCTTTCCTTAGGTTATTTAAACAGAATCAAAACTAATGTTAGAACGTATCTTCCTGTTTTTCAAATTAACATTAACACTATCATTCTATCGATCAGTTGCACAAACGTCGATTAAGGTTTAATGACACATTTAAGCTCTGATTAATGTCAAATTTGAATTGGTAATGTTGCTTTATACTAATGAAATTTTTAATGGACATTTGTGCAACTGGCCGTATGTTAAAAACTCTTAATTACTCATTTGTTGGTTAAAGCTAAAAGTTACGAAAACTTTCTATACAATACTCTCTTTCACTATTTATCTGCAAATTACCAAGTAGTAGATGTTAACATTGTTTTTTAATTAGTAAGATTTGAGAATTTTTTTTTTGTGGTTAATTTTTGTGTTTATAAACTGAAATATAACGATAATACAGACGTCAAAAATATTGAACAATATAATATTATTGAATAAATCTATAGCACAAGAAAGTTGATATATATACTCGTATTTTCAAAAAACTAAGACATGTTGCTGACGTACGCAGAAGCGTACAGTATATTTTGCATTGGTATAATCCTATTTAATATATTGTATTAGGATATGTGGTGGGGCTTGCAAATCATTGATGATTCGTTTGTAGAGAGCTCAGAGATCCCTTATTAAAGTAGCATTATTCAAACCTTTTAGATTTCCCACAACTATACTATTCTCTGATTTCAACTGACAGTAAGACAGTTGTTTATTCTAAAACTAATCGCTAATAAGCACGCATACACGCCATTTGATGAAACATTGAAGGAATTATGTAGTCTGTAAAACGTAATTCGGCTTTTGCGCAACGACAACAAAAATTTCATCTCCTGCTTTATTTATAAAAAAATAAATAGGAAACTAGTCATATATCCACATAATAACAGGCATTTTAAAACCAAAGTAACTGATTACTTGCTTTCACTTAATTATGAAATGGCTGAATCACTTCTAATAATCACATAATAGGGTTTAGTGATATGGTTTTAGCATTATTGGTTTAATAGTTTATATGTCAAGCACATAATACTTATTAATTCAATTTCCTTTTTTTATATACTGTTAATTTTTTCTTTGTTTATATAGAATAATATCTGAACTTTGGAAGGATTTGGAAGGATTTCCTAGTGTTGGCACTTATGTTTGCCAATTGTAATGCTGAATTATGTTCAAGTATGTGTATGTGTCTTTGTATTATTAGTCCAACCAACGTCTTCCTCACATACCTATCTAGAATTAAAGATAAATGTATAAAAAGTTTAGGACTTCAGGCATTAACATAGTACAATGGTACAATGCTAGTAGTTGAGATGCAATTGTTACGTAGACGGTAATAGAACAGAGATGAGAGTGGGTAAAAAAAATCTGTTTAATCCGTCCGTTCAGATAATAGAACAATATTAATATTAGTAGAATTTAACTAGAAATAGTTTAGATAACAGGCATCAAAGTTTGAGTAGAGGGGGAACGCTACGTCACAGTATTGTAGAAAACGTACGAAAGCATGACGTCATGTGACATTTTAACTTAAATGTATCGAAGTAATTTATAATAATTTTCAACAATGTACCCGACGGACAAAAAAAACAAAAATTTGTGAAATTAAATGAAAGTATCTTTATTAAAGTAAGCTTATTACAAGCTCTTTTGAATCGTCCAAAAAAATTATTTTCCCCTACCACTTGTTCAGGACTTCTTTTGGCTAACAAGAAGAACAAGTGAAAGAAACTTACCAGCTCTTTATCATAAGTAATGACATTTACATAAATCATATCATTACCAAAATAATATGTATTATCACAATAATAAATACAACTTTCAAAGTCTGTAGGTCATAGGTTGTACATATAATTAGTCGTTATAGAACAAAGCGAAGGCTATTAATTCCATGCATTGCGATCCTTAAAATAATCATCAACTTTATAATAGCCTTTACTCGTCATCCCTATGGGCTCAGGGGGCGTGACGCGTTTTAATTTATTTGGTGATTGAAATAACGAGACTCATTTATTCTTGGCTCTTTTTGATTGATTAACTGATCAGTTTATTATATATTATACCTATATCAGTATTAATGTTTGGATACATAATTTTTATATGACGTAAACAAACAGAAGGTATATCGACAAAAATCGATACTCCCAGTAAAATAGGATGATCACTGATCTTAATTAGCAACGGGTTCACAGATGCCTTTTTCTTAATCCCATAGTTAGTAAGAGAACAAAACGTCACTATGATTTTAAGGGAACATCATATTCAAATTTATGAACTGATGACAATCTTATTGTTTAAATAAACAAATAAACAAATCTCTTTTTGATGCTGGCTAAATCACAGAAGAGCAACTAACGAGGAAACTGAATTGAATACGATCTCCTTTTTATTAAATCGAGTTAATTAACAATTCCATTATTAGATCCCATCTCATGTTTAATTTGGTAATATATATTCATTTCAGGAGTTGGGCTTGGACATAACGAACGAGCAAATCGCCGAACTAGAAGGTGCCATCCACGACATCGACTTCGCGTGCGCAGCGGAGCACGAGAAACGTGTACGCCATGACGTGATGGCGCATGTACATGCGCTCGCGCAACGATGCCCGACTGCTGCGCCGATCATTCATCTCGGAGCGACTTCCTGCTACGTCGGCGACAACACTGACTTGATCGTTCTTCGGCACGGTCTTGATCTACTGTTGCCGAGACTGGCCGCCGTCATCAGCAGGCTGTCACAATTCGCTGATGAGTACAAGTAGGTATACCCTTATACTATCAAATCAAATAAAATTCAAAAATCAGTTTAGGCTGTTACAAACATTTGTGAAAGTTGAAACTCTACGTCGTGGGTTCGTAAACTCACCGATAAATAATTAATTAAATATATATCTCCACTAGCAGCACATGTTCACGAGCATAACCCATGGGCTAGCCATCGCTTCGCTCAATTATTTTTTAGGAAACGTAACGATACCACCGCGGAGACTTTAAAGAGAGCATGACATCCTATAAGCACTGACTCCTTTTAGCGAAGATAGTAAAGCTTTCAATACAGCTATGAAGTTTAATAATTTTGAGCTTCGATTTCATAATACGGAGAATATTTAAAAACTGCAAGGTGGTGCTGTCTGAAACAACATTAGATTTCGTTTGAAATGACCTATTTTATTAAGTCTTATGAAAACATAGTAAACATATTGTAGTTGATTTTTAAACATTCGACTTATGAATACTGTTCCTTCTTAGGGGCAGTCTTAATATTTGTTTAGTTATAAATGTGCAATACCAAAGTTATAAAATTAAAAATATAATGAATTTAAGTATGTGTTTCATATAGGTATTCCATGTCACGACACGTGAACAACGTCTTGCATTCAAAACTACTTGGATATATTTATTCTCGCAATGGTCGTGACAAGTGCCACGCTACTAGAACACGATTATCATGTTGCTTTTTATTGTTTTGCAACATCTGTCATTATTCCATTCAACGGGTTCTATTAGGCTTATGAGTAAAATAATTGATTACTTAAAATGCATTTAATTTCGCCAATTTAAGTTTTTATTATTTCGGAATTTCAGATCGATCCCCATTCTCGGATTCACTCATCTACAGCCAGCCCAATTGACTACCGTTGGTAAGCGAGCTTCGCTATGGTTAAGCGATTTGCTCATGGACGAGCGGGCTCTCTCTCGTGCAAGAGATGACCTTCGTTTCCGTGGAGTTAAAGGTACAACCGGCACTCAAGCATCATTTCTCCAATTGTTTAAAGGAGACAGTGCTAAAGTAAAAGCCTTAGACAAAAGAGTCGCAGAACTGGCCGGTTTTGACAAACGCTACATTGTCACCGGCCAAACTTACTCTAGGAAAGTGGATTTAGAAATTATAGCGGCACTATCTGGACTCGGAGCGACTGTCCATAAAATGTGTTCTGACATTCGTATATTAGCTTCCCGTAAAGAATTGGAAGAACCATTCGAAGCTTCCCAAATTGGATCTAGTGCTATGCCTTATAAAAGAAACCCTATGCGATCAGAACGGTGCTGTGCCCTTGCTAGACATTTAATCACTTTGTACGCAAATGCAGCGAATACACATGCGGTTCAATGGTTGGAACGTACTCTAGATGATTCTGCCAACCGCCGTATTACACTTGCAGAAGCATTTTTAGCAGCTGATGCGATATTATTAACTCTACTCAATATTTGCCAAGGTTTAGTGGTATACCCTAAAGTGATTGCTCGTCATATCAATCAGGAGCTGCCATTTATGGCAACAGAAAATATTATAATGGCCATGGTTCAAGCAGGTGGTGATCGTCAAGTGTGCCATGAGAAAATAAGAGTACTTTCACAAGAAGCTGGGGCTCAGGTAAAACAACACGGTAAAGATAATGATTTGATAGATCGTGTCAAGAAAGACCCCTACTTTTCGCCTATAATATCTCAATTGGAGAGCATTTTAGACGCATCTACATTTATTGGTAGAGCTTCTGAGCAAGTATCAGAATTTATTGAGGAAGAAGTGGATCCAATCATTTCTAAATATACAAACACTTTAGCTGCTCTCGAAAAACCAGTTGCATTGAATATTTAACTTATTTCTTACCGCATGTTGTAATAAAACAATTTTTTATTTAATAAAATGATATATTTACAATTACAATGTTTATTTCTATAATTATTTTATTTATAAACATACAAAAGATGACTATTATACAAGACGTAATTCTAAATGAACTAGGTTGTGGTAACATTATGTTCCAGAGATGATATCGAATACTGTGATCGAAGCTGAAGCACATTAAATGAATAATAAATAACTTAGAAAAATAACATTAACAAAACTGAATAAATAAATAAGCTTAAGGATTACAGATAGAGAGAATCTTTCAACAAACTTCATGACAATGAATAATGAAAAAAAGAACAAAAATTTTTAATGGCACGAGGAGATTCGTTTTTGTAACAAGTGATAGATCTCGTTTTTATAGAGTATTAGTTAATAACGTATCACCTTGGCAAGCGGGACCTTGGCTGGGCCAGTTACACGCTCCCAGAGATTCATCAAAACTTAACTGAACAGGGCAGTTAAAAACGTGGAGAGTAAACCTTTGCTTAGTACAGTCCCATCTACATGCGTAGAATTTATTACATTGCTTAGGATGACGGAACAAACCAGCTCTTTGACAGTCTACCGATCCTTGTAATGTCTCGTCACGGCTTCTCCAACCTCCTGGACCATATCTATCAAATGCTTGAGAATCTATTGATGATCCTACAGATTCTGATTGCTTAGCAATGACAGTAGGTGCAACTTCTTGATTTAATAATACAGTTTTGTACGTTGGGGCCAACGTTACTGTTTTAACTCGTGGCCTTATTTTGATGATCTTTTCAGTAGTCGAAACGTAAACTGGTGTACTTGATACATAGTTTTCTGAATATATTCGTTCTCCTTTAGGTAACGGTGAATCGTAACTGTTTTCTTCTTGGAAATCTTGATAATATGAATCATCAGGAACAATAATAGGATTGAAAGTAGATTTAATAATAGGGCTAGTGGTAACTGTTTCCACATTTTGTACTCGTAATTTAGCAGATTTCTGTGTCCATTCATTATCGCTGATATCTCCACGACCACTATAATAATTATCTTCACTGTAATCGTCAAAATCTTGTTGTGCTGGCACGTTAGGTTTCTTTCCTTTAAGGACAAGTACAGGCGATTGACAACTACAGACAGCTCCTAATTTTCTTACAAGTAATGGATTGAAATCATTTATTTTGGTGACAACGGCCACTTTCGGTTTTATTCTCCGAATCGGTGCTGGAGTGACTTCAACTAATTCTTGTTTATAAGATGGTGTTACTATAGCTTTCGGTGTCGAAGAATATATTTCACTAGAAACGACGATGGGTTCTGTAGAGTATACAATTGATGGTGAAGAGACCAGTCCAGCATCAGGCCCAACGGTACCGAAACCAAGCAAGTTTTGTTTGGCTGTCTCTACGACTATGTTCTGTTTTCTTATGTAAGAACCTGATGGAGAAGCTTTGTACGGATTTCTTATATTTGATACTTGGTCATAGGTATTGAAATTTGCAACATTTTGCGATTCTTCCGACGGCGGCAAGTAGTCGGGTGCTTTGTACTGCGTAGTTGATTCTACATATTTATACGTCGGGTTAGTTGTACTTGATTTAACAATTGGTCTGTATGTCGTTGACACTACTGGAGCTGAGGTGGTAAAACTCGCTGATGAAACGAGTCCCGCGTCTGGGCCGACTGTGCCGAAGCCAAGTAAATTTGATTTGGACGTTTCGACAACAATATTCTGTTTCCTTTGCACTGGAGCGTATGTAGCAGATATAACTTCTTCTTGATAAGGATTGTATCCAAGTTTTGATGATTCCGTGTTTTTCAAACCAAAACTTTCAAAATTTACCAATTTGACTGTGTTGTCTTTTTCTTCTGTAGGTGGCAAATAATCCGGTGCTTTGTATTGCGTATTATAGTCGACATATTTGAAAGTCGGTTCTTGTGTCGTAGATGAAGGACTATAAGTATTTTTAGCGTTATACCGTGGCACAGACACAGGAGGCGAGTATTCCCTTGTATTAGAAGTGGCGGTATAAGTAGATGAAACTACAGGAACTAATGTAGACTGAATAGGTGGTAAATATTCTTCAGCTTTGTAATTTTCTTGAATTTGTGGAGTATCTTGGACAAGTTGTTTGTATTTTGTGACCACTTTAGTTCCTGGGAATGTAGAAATATGTACAGATTCTTTCCTAGGTTGCGTTACATGTGATGTACTGAACGAGATTTGTTGAACAGGAATATGATAATCTGTATCTTGAGTCTGATGAACAATTGGTATTGAAGCTACCTTTGGAGGAATGTACTCGGGCGCTTTATACGTTGATGCTGTCGGAGGAATGTATTCAGGAGCCTTGTACTCCACTTTCTTTGCCTCTTCGTTATCAGCATAATGATCTTCATAAGCTATAGATGATGGCGTTGTAGACACGAATACTACATCCTTGTCTGATTGTGATTTTGCGTTATTCTGATGGTATACTTGATGTGAGACAATGTTTGCATCAGAATAGAGCTTTCCAAAATCAAGCTCTTCATTTCTTTGTATTTCAGGTTGGCTATATGAATAACCTTCTTGACCCAATTGTATAGTTTGATGCGAGAAAGACTGTTGATATTGAACAGGTTGACTAACATGAGTGATTTCTTGTTGGTGAACAATCGGTTGATAGTTTTCTGTATACACCGTAGACGAAGGTTTAACTACATTTTCTGTTTGAGTGTATTTCAAAAGAGGATTTTCGTAAAGAGATACAGTTGGCTGTTGATAAGTTAATTCCACTGTTGGAAGAGCTGTAGGAACGACCGAGGAAAGCTTTTGTGATTCTACTTTATGTATAGTTTGATGACTGTACGTCTGCGGTGTATACGTCGAACTTATAATAGGAGCTGGGGTAGAAAACTGAACAATTGTTTCCGGCACTTGTTGTATTTTCACTGGCGTGTTCTGGTAAGCAAGACTTCCTTCACTCTCAGAATATGTAGCAACTTTGCTTGCCTCCACATTGTGCAAGATTTGATGACTTATAACTTGGGGTTGTTGAGTAGATACGATAGGCTGTAAAGCAAGTTCGGGTTGAGCGGTTGAGTAATGAATAACTGTCTTCGGCTCTTGGTAAGTAACTTCAACTGATGGAGTATAAACTTTATTTTCTACAGTTTTGTGAATTGTTTGATGACTATAAGCCTGGGGTTTGTAACTTTGCTCTACATTAGTGACTACTGCTGGAGTTACTTTCTGTGCATATTTTATGATAGGATTCTCGTAGACAGAGACAGTAGGTTGTTGATGAGTTATTTGTACAATGGGACCAGCAGTTGACGACACTGGAATGTAATTCTGTGATTCAACCTTATGAATTGTTTGATGATTATAAGACTGTGGTTTGTATGTTGAAATTATGGGTGCTGGAGTTGAATATGTAAAGACAGTCTTAGGTTCTTCCTCAAACCTGTTTACAGGAGCCTCGTATTTATATCCAGAATTTAGATTCTTGTATTCATAACCAGCATCAGAGGTTTGATATGTTTTAACTTTATTTGTATCTACTTGATGTACAGTCTGCAGATTATAAACTTGAGGTTGATAAGTAGATGATACTACAGCTGGTTGTGCTGTTGTATATTCATGTATACGAGGCTCGTTTACAGGAGCCTCGTATTTATATCCAGAATTTAGATTCTTGTATTCATAACCAGCATCAGAAGTTTGATATGTTTTAACTTTATTTGTATCTACTTGATGTACAGTCTGCAGATTATAAACTTGAGGTTGATAAGTAGATGATACTACAGCTGGTTGTGCTGTTGTATATTCATATATTTGTTGTGGTTGTTCACTAGCAAATTCAACTTTAGCATATGAATTATCAGATTCTATATTATAAGTGTTGCTATTGTCAATATTATGAATAGTTTGATGGCTAAATGACTGTGGTATGCTAGCTACCGTAGGCTGGACATTAACAGACGATCCTGTAGTGTAAGCTACTAATTTTTTAAACTGTGGTTCATTGACTGGAGTAGCAGTAGCATAATCGAAACCTACTGATTCTACTTTATGTAAAGTTTGCTGACTGTGACTAAATCCTTGAGGTTTATACGTAGATACAGATACAACAGGAGCAGGTGTGGTGTAAGTTACACTTTCTTCGAATTTTATGCTTGGCTTGCTATATTCATATCCAGATTTTTCATTAGATTGACTAGAATGTTGAACAGTATGCGAAACACTTTGACCTGAACTGATAGCTTGATTATAATCAGTTACTTCCACTTTAGGTGTAACATAATGTTGTTTAACTGCTACTACAGTGGGTTTCGCATATGTTACAGCTGGCTGAGTAAAACCAAATATTTGTTTTACATTGGTCTTAGGTGCTTCAGGTAGGATAATTGTTTTGTACGTTGTGATTGGCAGCGATGTTGTAACAGCAAAGGGAGTAGCTGTAGTAGGTATACCAGATGAAGTGGGAGTTGTTGCTAAGCCATAACCGTCTAAATTATTGCCGTCAGTTCCGAGATGATGAATAGAAACAGCGGGCTGGGAAATGAAAGAGACATGACCAGGATGAACAGTTGGTTGTGAAGTACTATGACTTACTGACGAAGCATAATTATACCCATTATTTATTTGATAGTTACCGTGATTTGCATATGCAGAATCAACTAAAGTCGTTTTACCAACCAAACCAACATTAATCGCACCCGCTGTCAAAGTATGCGAAGCGCCAGTGTATGCTTTTGAGTCACTCAAATAATCTCCAGAATGAGCAGTACTGTACGCTCCGTGATACTGTTTAATATTAACTTCACTGCTTGATTTACCGTTATTATTTAATGCCGTTGATCCATAATTGGAAATCCCAGCATCTGTTTTATATACTCCTGCTACGTATTTTCCAGAGTCATCATGATTATATGAACCTGAGTAATCAGCGTAAGCACCGGAATAATCTTTGTATGCTCCACTTGTTGAGCCCGTATCGACAAATGCTCCCGAGTTGTCATGTATATATTGTCCGCTGTTATCTTCGCTATATTTTCCATTAGTGTTACTTTCAGAATATCCTGAATATCTACTGTAATCATAATTATCTCTAGATTGCTTGTAACCAGAATCATCATGGACATATATATCAGCTGGTGAATCTTGATGTCTGTAAGGTTCGGCATAATCTCCTGATGGATCATGGACGTATGCTCCAGAATTGTCATCATAATTAATACTTGTTTTATACTGAGTATTCCCTGAGGTAACATAAGATGCAGTATATCCATTGTTATATCGCCCTGAATATGTTTGTCCAGCACTTTGATATATGCCCGATTGATCAACATTTTGTGTTTGGCCATGAGTTACTTTCGATTTCGTCGGAAGTCTATAATCATCTAATATGATCGAGCCGCTGGTATATTTTCCTTCATCTTCGTATTTAGTCGCTTGTACTAAACCTAAATTAGATTGAGAGGAGCCAACCTGATAAGTTTTGGAATCGGTGTTATATCCTATATTATAATTGTGACCTCCTGAAGATAACTGAGCGTTGGATAATTCTTGGGAGGCAATAAAATTAGAATCCAAAGCGTCATCTTTGGTCAGGAAACCTCCTTGGATGCCGACTAAATTGTCCAGGGATGCTCCGGAGACAAGGCTTTGATGAGCTGCAACATTTACAGCATCCGCTGTTTGACCTTGAAAGCCTGCTGCACCTGGAATTAAAAAATAATGCTATTAATTTATAGCTATTATCTTTGATTTCTAAATATTTGTTTATTAAATAATTTTATACAAAAAAAACATCTTATAATGCGAATAGAACAGGCCTTAATCCAACACTTGAGTCCAACGCAATTTGGTGGTTGCTGACACTGCACAAGCAATTTTACAATAATATAGTTATTTTTATTAATAATACACCATCATCTGTTTCATCGAAAACACTCATATCATTAAAAAAATCTCGTACATTGATTTCAAAATGTTTTATACAAGATGATTACTTAGACTAGAAATCAAGCTTATACACATATACGAGGCTGTCGAATGACAATTAATTAGTTTACTATCTTCAAATCGTGGTCAAGCCGAGAACTTTTCAAACTAGCCTAGTAAGCTTCTTTTTCTTCATCCGGCTCATCCCATCTTGATTGGGGTCAGCCCTCCTTATCAACTTTCACCAAAGGTAGTGATCCTGTTTTCTCGGGTCTCAAGCAATCCAAACAACTCCAAACGAGGTATTTCACAATATAATCGCGACACCATTTCATGATTCTTCAATGGAACTTGAAAGCATCCGTCCTGTCGTTGATTGTGACGTTCTAATGCAGGGAGATAGATGTCGCTAAAATGATACAAAAATTGAACTCTGGAACTAACCTGTGAGTATAGCGGAGGAGAATCCGTGCGCTTCCGCCTCATATCTGGCGATGTTCCCGCATGCGGGCACCAGCCACGGCCAATCGCATTTAAGTCTCGCCGCATCGAAGCCCAGACCGAATGGACAACGGAATTCGTATGCGGTCAGTGGCGACTTGCCGTGATCTAAGCATGCGAAGAACCAACGGCAATTCTCAGGATCGGCGTAGTATCCTGCAATAGAATATGTTTTTAATATATACTTAGGTCGAAGATAAATAAATTGCAATATCCTGTAGTTATCCTAATTTGAACCTACACATAAAAGTGATGGTGAGTGGGTAATAAAAAAAAAGAAATTCTATTTATTCCGTCAGTTGGATAATAGAAAAATATTAGATACCTATTTTTTGCTACAATTTCATAAGAAATGGTTCAGATTGTAACGGTGTGCCATACCACCGTTTATTTTGTCCTAGATTTCAACATGCAAACTTTTTGCCTTTGATAATCATTTCCTTTTATTACTCACCTTTCATAATTTAAAATTTTGACTAGTCAAATATACTCTTTATGGATGTCAGTTCCTGGAAATTCTTTGAACAGTACGTAACATTCATTCATTTCATTTTCATTTTACATGTAGAAATTTATTTATTCACTTGACATTGGCAGAATTGTGCGAAATGCGCAGATAAGCCATTAATAAAAGAAGAAGAAGAAGAAGAAGTACGTAACATGTTATTATTGTAATTAATAAAATAATTTAAATTATGTGTTTATAGTGAAGATTCTATATAAGAAACATTTTAAGTGAATCAATAATAAGTGAAAAAAATAAAATTTAAATTACCAAATAAAACGAATACATACCGTATTCGTTTTATTTGGTAATTTAAATTTTATATTTAGTTTAACATACGAACTGTTTTTATATTCATTTTGTAATTTAAATTTTATATTTAGTTTAACATACGAACTGTTTTTATTTCTTTATACCATAAATAAATCCATAGTCAAGCAAGTCAGTTTTTCATTGATTGGCCCAAGCACCGAACCCATCACAAGATAATAGGCATTAAAGTTGAGGAGGTTCGCTTTCTCACAGCAACGTAGAAAATATACAAAGGTGTGACGTCACGCGACATTTCAATTTAACGTATCGCAGTTATTTATTGATTACGCAAAAAAAATAAAAAATACGTATTTAATATTCAGACGGACAGCTAAATAAAAAAGAGTACCCCTATAAAATACTAAGATTAAAATTTCAGTATACACTCGTACGTAATATTTATTTGTACCGATTAATTTGTTTTAATAAGGAATAAAAACTTTGTCATAGTAACATGATTGTTTACAATTCAATTTGTTTTTGTAATTATATCCGTGTCAAAGAGTAAATAAAGTATATCCATGTGAAATCCGATTTAGATATAATTTGGGGTACTTTTTATCACACTAAACAGTTCACTAGGGACAACGTGGGCGAAGCCGCAGACGGGAAGCTAGTGGAAAATTTAGATTTTTCTGAGTCCTGCAATCAGTACCAGTGAGTGTAGAAGACTGACCTTCGTGTTCTGGGCAGATGAATCTGGTATGCGGAACTGGGGCTATCTCCGATGACCCCGGACAGGCTTGCGAGTGCGGCAAGCTGCCGGGCCACACGCACACCTCGTACCGGGAGTCGAACGCCAGACCACCAGGACAATCGAACTCGAATACCTGACATATATACATTTCGCTAAAGAACGCACAATAGAGAAAACCTCAGGGATAACACTTTCGAACATTTCCTCTTTTAGAAACGAATGATTATTTTCCTTCTTACATCCAAAAACGTACACGAATTACATTTCGACGCTGGAAAGCAAACACGTAGTAACCTGCAAAACGAAATTGGATATTTAGAATGGAAAATCTTTATATTTTTCCAAGAAAAAATATCTTCTTTCCGTATAAATTGACTAAGGAACACCTAATTTGGACTAACATGGACGTTTATAGGAATTATTTATCGAAAAAAAATAAAGTTTTTCTGCTCTATAGAACAATTTTGGTTTTGCGGGTTACTACATGTTTGCTTTCCAGCGTCGATATGTAAAGAATTCTATGATTTTCTTTGTAATCAAAAGGTACTAAAATCTGCTGGCAGTTTAAAAATACAACTTGAAGCAAAATAGTTTTTGGTTTTCCTTGTATTTTTCTTACTCCAGAATTTCTGATCGACTGATTTGGCAACCCTAATAGTAGTGCGAATATTGTTTTGGATGATAGTGTGAAATTTATTTATTAATTACACAACATTTTAACATTTTGCACCCTTCCTCAATATAAACTATTACAATTGGAGGCCCCACTTAGCTGAAGAGACGTTTTACATGCCTCATATCTAGTTTACTCTCTGTCTAGAAGCAAGTGCAGATGCGAAGTGACAAGCCGTGACCCGTCGACCATGCTCATTCCCCAAAGATTAATGTTAGCATTTCCAAACGTGGATATGTACAAACGTGTTTCAGATTCAAAATTATTTCCCTTTGACTAAAGTTTTGGTAGCATTTATTATATGAAGTAGATAAAGTGATAGATTGAAGCAGCTACGCTTCTGATTACACTACCCATAGATATTTTTCCTTCTGCTTTCTTAAATCAGTTATCCTGTGTATTTAACTTAGATATCATACTAATGAAGGTATACTTACAGTATATTCAGGCGATAGTTGATCGAACTTGACGCAGCGATAAAACCTGGCGCATGATCGCGGATGCACGAAGTAACCTTGTCTGGAGCAAGTGAATTCAGTCCTCGTATCCTGTAAACCATCATTTGTTATTCTATATTTTTAAACATATTTATCCATTTTGTATAATAAAAGGTTTAGCAGATCATATCCGCTTATTTTCTATCCTCATATTGATAACTTGTCAAGTGGACTGAGTTCTGCAGCATTTGCTGTTAAGAAAATTAGACTCTTGACAAATGTTGAAACGGCAAGATTGGTATATTTTAGTTATTTTTATAAATAAGTTTAAAATTCATGTAAAGAACATACTTATGAGTAAAATTATAAAGTTGATGATTATTTTAAGGACCCCAATGTATTAATAGCCTTCGCTTTGTTCTATAACGACTAATTCTATGTTCAACTATGACCATATGGTAATAACATGATTTTGTAAATGTCATTACTTATAATAAGAAGCTGGTAAGTTTCTTTCGCTTGTTCTTCTTGTCAGCTAAAAGACGTCCTGAACAAGTGGTAGGAGAAAAAAATTTTTGGACGATCCAAAAGTGCTTGTAATAAGTTTACTTGAATAAAGATATTTTCATTTCATTTCATAATTTCTTTACTGATGAAGATGAATCCATTTAAACTCTAACAGTCCAGTCATAATTATTTATTGCTTAATCTGGGAAAAAAAATCTAGTAACTTTTATCATGTTGTAATAAATAAATAAAATAAATAATATCTTACCTCTCTGATCGAATGAATGACACCATCAGAATCAACAACTTGTGTTATGCGGTACGGCGACACTTGTAGAGCGTCCAATGCTCGAGCGTGCCCCAGAGCCGACAGGATCTCGTGTTCAAGAGATCTATGATAAAGCATAACACATTGAATCCACAGTTCCTCCAAGCAAATTAAAGCATTTATCTGTTTATAGTTAAGTTTCAATTCGGTTATTTCCAATAGGGATGATGACTAATTTTGTTTGTTTGTCCGTCAGGTAGAGTGTTAAAAAATATTAAACACGTATTTTTTTATTTTTTTGGTAATCATAAAATTATGGCGTTACGTTGAGTTGAAATTTCGCATGACGTTAGAGTACGTTTTCTACTCAACTGTGACGTAGCGAATCCCCACTCCTCAACTTTAATGCCTGTTATCTAAACTATTTCTTGTTAAATTGAAATAAAAAAAAATACGTATCTAATATTTTTCTATTATCTAACTGACGGACTAAATAGAATTGCATTTTTTTTACCCAGTCATCATCCCTATTCAATTCGAGTAACCAATAAATTTTTCAAATCGTTGAAGATTTTTTGCACTAAAGATTCTTTGTGAAAAAAATTAAGAATTCATAACACATTTTAGTAAAAAATAAATAACACTTTAGAATATGGCTCTGTCTGTTCTCCACCATGCAAAAACAAGTACCCATATTACAATATAATAGTTTAACATTCGAGGAGCTCAATGGCGCAAAGGTTGGCGCGTTCTATTTGCGATGCGGAAGTTAAGCAACTTCCGCAAGGACCGGTAACGCCTCAGTGCTTCGGAAAACACGTTAAGCCGTTGGTTTCAGATTCGATTCCATACATAGGGAAGGTCTGACACCCAGCAGTGGGAACACTGATAGGCTAATGATGAGACAGCAGCAAACTAACAGGTTTAATATAAAAAATGACTTTCTAAAAATAGCCTATGATATCACCTTATCTTCTCATAGGTGTATTGTGAAAGGTTTACGATTTTGCACTCAGTATTACGAAAGGATATATAAAATAGTTAATACATAATGTACATTTGCTATGTCATAATGAACAGGCGCATTGCAAGATAAACGATTTACCTTAAAATTGCAGCTCTCGGTGCTCTGCTCTGCTGATTGAGGACTTTAGCCAGGGATGTTTTCAAAGTAGGTCCACACGGTGTTTCTGTGTCATAGTCAGCCTTGTGTAACGCGAGACCAGCTAGGCCACGTACTCTTGCGTATTTACCCTTCACATCCACAGAGGATGCGTCTTCGAAAGAAATCCAGGTCTTATTCCTTTAAAATTGAAAATTGAAAAGTTGAATAATTTTATTTTAATATAATAATTACAACAAATTTTCACCTTTATGGAAAGTTTAAATATTTGTATTTCTTTCGGCTGTTTGAGTGGGTTGTCTGAAAATTGATGAAAGTACGCTCTGTAGTAATGAAAAAAGTAACAAGTGCTTCGTCATGGATTCGAGTCCTATCTCAGAGTACCAGGAACAAAGTGGAATTTTTAATCATTTTCAATGAAGAATATTTCGAATTAAACAGTAATTTAAAAAAATAATCGAATCGAATCAAGGAAAGTTTGAGCGTCTTTTGTAATTTAGCGAGATTGAGCATCTTTTGTAATGGCCGGTCAGAGGATGGGTGGCCAAAAATTTTTAATATAGTACCTAATGCACCTGCAAATGTTAAGAGTCACCTATCCATACTGGATGGATTATAATGACCTAAAGTTCGATAACCTAACTCTCTAGTCATAGGATACGACATCTTATTGATTTTACGACAATATTACATATCGTGTTACCATTTGATATGTCTTTTGATAGATAAATTTGGGATAATGACATAGTTGGTAACAACGCTATCATATCCATTATCATCATTCTTTATCGTTCATACTTAAATTACATCATTATTAAAGTTCATGTAAAAATAGTAAATTGAAACGAAATATCGCCATAACATCGATATCCTAAGGCTAGAACCATGACTAGAGGGTTAGGTTAGGCGGTCGCTTTGCTGTTCTCCCTATTTGATTCCTTTACATAGGGAAGGCCCGTAGTCCAATAGTGAGATATAAAAATGTTAATGAATTATAAAAAAAATACTTATAAAACAATAGTGACGTGTTTCAGACTGGACTCAATGAAACAAGCTTTTATTTACCGGGCGAATACTCTTTCGGCTGCAGTGCTATTCTGTTAAAAGTACAACATCGAACGCACCGTCTAACATAGCGCTATTATATCAATAAAGGTTTCCTTTAATGATATTCATATTCTAATGACGTGCCAGCGCCGCATTCGACGCTGTAAATTATAATAAATGTCATACAGTTTACGGAAAATTCATATCTGAACAAGTCAAAACTACCTACCTACCAATTCAGGAAGTTTACCTAATGTTTTACTTATAAGTTGCAACATTTCAACATATTCCTAACTTAAAATACGGTTTTATGAAATAAAATAAAAATGTTTACTTTCTTTAAATTAAATTACCAAAATAAAAGAAATGACTGAGTGAATTCATAGTCACTAACTCGCATGTGATTTTACAAATCCTCGTAAAAATTTGTATCTGCCTCTTATCCTCGTATAGCTATTTTCCATCTCATCCTCCAGTTTTCCTTGAACATTTTTTTAATGATAGTAGCATTTTATGTACATTTTTAGTTAATCTGGCAACATTCCATGATGAGCAGTCGGTATTCAGGGCACGTATCTCACCTTGCCGCTAACATAATTTACTATTGCTATGATAAAACCTCTAAACTAGTTGTGTCCTCATGGAGTATCTAAAATATGATATGAGATTTTTTTTACAATTACTGTGGAAAAGAAGGCAAGAGGTAGGGCAAGCGTGCGTACGTTGTGTCTAAATCATTGGAAAATGTAAAAATTATACCACATCAATACATTGCTCAGATTTCAAGATAAGTAACTAAAGCCCTAAATAGAGTATCTGAAACCAAGACCCGAAACAATATAGAAAAGTGCATTTTTTACAATTAACCCGACCGGGAATCGAACCCGAAACTTCAGAGATAGGACCTTGAAACCAGCTTGAAACAACGAAAAAAATTAAAGGAAAGTGAGACAGATTGGTAAAGCACACTCTTTGATAACGTTATATGTATGAAGAGACATCAATATCAATAGGCATCAAACAGAATAGGCGCTCCCATTAAATAATTTAATAATTTCACGGACAGTTGCTACGTATACTTAATTAAACATTCAATATCTTCACGCCTTATTCCATATGGGAGGAAAACACATAACAGAAACATTATTTTTCTAGCATATACAACGGTGCTCACTCCAATTATATTTCAGATTAATTTATTAACAGCACCCAGTAATGTTTAGTTAAAATGTATTCATAGAAATAAAACTGTTGAAGTAAAAATTTCTTCGTAGTCACACTTTCTTGTTGCCAAGACGAACCAAATAAAATCCAAGCTACATATTTTGTCTAAGGTGTAATGTTTTTAAAATTAGGGTTTGTTAACTAATGGCGTGTAGAGTTAGAAGCTTGACTCTACATGATATCTGAAACTTTTTGATAGTGTGTGTCGTATTGTCTTGTCTTGGCAATATTTTAAATGATAATGTTTTTGGTGGGATAGTTATTTACAATATAAGAACCTATGTTTTTCCTAATTTTTACATAGGTAAAATATGTATACAGAATATATTAGTCGTCAAATCGACTGAAGACAGTCACTTTAATATGTTTATCAAATCAACGTTGAGCAAAAAAGATTAAAATTCATGATAATATTCTTACAAAATGCAAAAGTAGATCAGTTTATAATGTGATCCTAGATTTTGGTTATTAGAAATGTGAAAAAATCAAGATTATTAACAAATATCTATACGATAAAATTTATTTAGTTGACAACTTTATTATATTACACCACTAATGATTTTAAATGACATTTTAATGTATTACATAATTTTTTTATAGCAATATTATATTGAATAAATCGCGATGAGTATAATAATAAAATTTACACAACTTCTTATACCGATCCGACATACAGTTCCCACACTTTCCACGTATATCAAAATCTGTTAAATAGACCCAGTTTTGACGTTAATTACAAAATAAGTACGTGTTATAACTTGCAAAATATTCGGTTAGGTGAAACATTAAAAGTGATTTTATCAATGTTGCCACAGTCTTATGACATTCAACCGGTTATCGGTACTATTATTTACAATTTATGTTTTCCCTTTAACTATAATTAAGCTTTTTCAAGTTCTACTTCTAGTTCAGTTAAAACATATAAATAAAATTGTTGCTGCAATCGGCTACATCCTTTCCCGAGGACAAAGTTTTTGTCACTGCTGTTAATTGGATATGATCGTAAAAGGAAACGGCTTTATTTCGATACGATATACTTAAATTAGATTCAGAGTCCTAATTGAGGCTCCATAAGATAACTCGATTTGTCATCGTACGACGCAATCGCATCGTTTGCTCGTATAATTGCGACGTTTCCGTATGCGACGTCGTGTCTTATAAACCTACGACATGCAGCATAAAAATTGCACCTCGACTAAGGTTTTAAATAATCAATCTCAATTTCGTCTGTCATGTCCTGAATATTGAACATTATCAGCGAACGAGTGATGATTACTTCTACGACGCGACGTCGTAGGTTATACCTACGTTGCATCGTGGTGCGTTGCGATGTCATGTCGTGAATAAGACGTCGCAGAGATGGTGTCGTATGTTTATGTATAATTTCCTAATAAATTAGGATACCGCCTAAAACTTATATTCAAATCTTGTTGAACACAATTTGTTGGCCTTTTGCAACTATTTAAATTTGTATTCATTGAAGATTTTGTAAAAAGAAATAATGAGAAAACTGCATCGTAATTTTAAGAGTTCTCTCACGGCCACACCGTATATTTACAAAAAAATCAATAGAAATATCCCTAGATTTCATATTTCCGTTTCTTTACCTAATTATACTGTATGTATATCACTTTGTAGCCGAAGGTTGTGTCCAGTACTTTTAAAAGAATAGTAACAGTTTTCAAATGATTAATTTAAATAGTTTTTATAATCACTAGGGATGACATTTTTTTTGTTTGTCTATCAGGTTTATTATTGTAGAATATTAAAAACGATATTTATTATATTTTTTGCGTAATCAATAAATGTCGCATGACGTCACACCTTTGTACATATTCTAAATTGTGACATAGTTGTGACGTAGCGAGCCCCCACTCCTCAACTTTAATACCTTTTAATCCAAGCTATTTCTTGTTAAACTGATCTGTATGAATCTCATCGCCGGGTGCGCACCTTTCTATCTGTATGAATCTCATCGCCGGGTGCAATTAGTCTTTATGCATACTCTTAATAGTATAATGGATTACATTTGTCAATAAATAATAAAACACTCACCTAAATGCGTAAGGTGCAGAGAGGTCCTGGTCACGTTCCAGTGTCCACCTGCCTTTCTGCAGAAGTCTGCAAAGTTCTGATTGGTCGATCTCTTTGGGATCACTTTCTGCGGTGGGACTACCAGGAGTACTGAGGGTCTCATTCATGAGGGTGAATTTTTGTGCAGTCGCCGACAAGCTTATCACAACCTTCGAAGCTGGAACTCCGAGGCCTACGACCAAATCTACGACGGAATCCTGGAACAGGCAATAATTTATTTGTTACAAGCAGAAGTCATTTTCTGGTAACGCAGGGGAAAACACTGAAGAACAGAAGAAGAACAGATTGTAACGTGTTTGGCCTACGTGATAAACACGCCGTGTGTTATCGTCGCTGAGTGGGGAAGGAAGGAGTTCGTCGGATCCAATAAGCACAGGTCCTAAGTTTCTAGGAAAATGATATTTCGAAAAACTTTGATGCTATGATGACGTTATATTCACCTTTTTAATGAATCAATAAGTGACTTTAGTATTGATTTGAGTTTTAAGTATCAACGACATTATAGTGGATAAAAATAACAATAAAATGCCGTCAAAATGGTCTTAAAAACGGCAGTAGTGCCTTGTAAGGCAATGAGCACAATATCTTTGTAGATTTTAAAAATAATGTTAACAAACGAATTGAATAACATTGTCTTCGTCGAACACATACGTCATTTTCGTAAAATATACGATTTTAATTATCGTCTCATAATGAAACCATCGGCAGGCTTTATGCAACATAATCACCAACTTAATGCCCATAAAATAATTAAACAGTCGCGAATTTGAATTATAAAGATCCACCTGACACGTGACCCAGTTCCAAAAAGCAATCCTCTAACTGCTCTTACGCAACCGATTTGATACTCTAACGCTACAGAAAAAAGGTTCAACGAGGTACTTTAATTAAATTTGTTATATTTTTCTAGTTTACCTTCACCTGTGCAGACTTATGGGCTATCAGTCTAGATTTGAGTTGTAGTTGACTTTACTTTTAATAGAAACGTGATGGGTGAAACCAATAAATTTAATGAAAAATTTAAACGATTTTAAAGAGCGTAATTGAATAAATTATTAACCTTAAAAATAAATATAAAATAGAGTTTCTTTTGAGATAAGCAAATTAATTATAAAAAAAAGACTTTTAAAAATTTATTCCCCACGTTTAAACTCTTCTTGCTTGAATTAGTTACCCGATTGGGATTACATTGTTGTCCTGGTCAATCAATAAAATAGCTGTCTCAGACCAAATAAAAAGTAAAGACGGAGTTCGCTGAATAACAAAGTGAAGCCGATTTTTAGCAATTGTAGTGTGCGTGCCAGTGTGACCATAGTCATTAAAAACACACCAATAACTTAACGTTACGACGTTATAGAGTTAACGTTAACGCTATGCTATTTAATAATATAATGTAAATTCGTTTGTCAATATCAGCATAGATATTCTAAAATCTTTAAGAGTAGGTTATCATTATTGGAGGCCATACATTAGAGAGACTATTTAATTAATTTTTAAGTTAAGTTTGAAAACTTCCACTATGTTGACTAAAATTTTAATATATAGAACGTTTGAAACCTTTGGATATAAGTTTTGCTTTATTCGACGTAACCCTTTTATAGTAAAACACATATCATCGCTCTTAAAATGAGTCGAACAAACTACGCTGCGTTAAGTTGGATTCCATGAAGGTTCATTTCGACTATTACGAATGACTGAAATCCACTTCTCTTTCACATTTTGAATTGGGTTTTGAAAATGAAAAAATGTATGCAAACCTGTTTAGTAAAAATAAAGAAGTAAAAAATTCAACCCGTTTTTATTTTTACTTCCTTATTCTAACACTTCAATATCTATGAACTGGACCTCTATGTAGTATTTTGAATGCAAAATTTATTAAATATCATTTCCATACAACAAGAAAAAAATACATAACGTAATTTGTGGTTTGTTAGAAATAACGCGTTATAAAATTAAAGTTACCTGATTTCGGGGTAAATAATAACGTTTAACGATGGTAATATTTGGCAGAGGTTTTGTGTTCCAAGCAATTACTTAAATTTAATTTTTAAATTACTGAATATGTAAGTTTTCTCCAATACTTATGTGTGAAATGTGATTCCATCCTGCTTATTATTTTTTGAGGATTGGTTTTTACAACCTTTTACTACACAATTCGGCAGTTAGTAAGAAAATTTTGATTTTTTTTATAATGAAACGTTCCGCACGCTGTCTTTAGTTAGACTGATAAGGAAGGCGTAGTGTCGATATGTATGTGTGCGTGAAACTGTGTACGAATACGCCAAGGCGTAGTTTTGTCGGCTTCACTTTTCTGTTAGGCAAAACTCCGTCTTTACTTTTTATTTGGTCTGAGATAGCTGTAATAAAGTGAACCATACCACAAAACACATAAAGGTTTCTAGGATTGCTCCCTAAGAATTTAAACTTATTTCTTTTATTAATTAGACGTATTCTGTGAAAATTTTCAATTGTCCCGACTTACTCAAAAAATTATTGACATCTGCATAATCTCCAATATAGACACAGTGATTTGTTATTTGAGTTTTTTTGGTGTTAAATAATCTACAGAATCGATTGCCTGTTTTGTAATTTTATTATTATTTATATGAATATTAAAAATTTGGATGGGTCAGTCGATTGAAGCCTATGATACATAATAAAGGGGTCACAATAGCATCGTTTGGGTATCTTCCAAAAAAATTATAATTCATAATTTTGTTGTTTTAATATAACTAGAACTCATTCAAGCAGACAGATCATATGTTTAATTACCTAACTAATCTAATAAACAGGTCTTCGATATTTTTATATAAGAAGACCTTTACGTAACTATAAAACTGTATCACCTTTCAATCGGGCTGAAATTACACTTCTGTGACATAATAAATTACTAAGATAATCATATTAGATCGGATTGAGTTCGCTTGTCATATTAGAAAGACATGATAAATCAGCATACAGAACAATTACATCAATGCCTATTGTGTTATGTCATAGAGAAATTTTAGTAGAAAAAAATTTTTGTTATACCAAACTTTTTCTTTGAATCCAAAAATAAGGTAGCCCAATAAAAAGTATTAATTTATAACTTTATTTTAGTCATATGACTAAGGTATGCAAGGTCAGAATATGAGACATGCATCTATTCTATACATCAAACGTATATAAATACACAAAGCTACCGAAAAATACTGTCTTTCTTTCTATTTGTTATTTATCTGTTTTTCTAGATTAAGCTGAATGTACTGATTTAGACGTTTTCTAATATGCGATTAATATAAAAATCAACAAAATATGAAATACAAAAGATTTTATGTGTACCATGTGAATAGGGATGATGACTAATTTTTGTTTGTTTGTCGTTCAGGTAGAGTGTTAAAAAATATTAAACACGTATTTTTTTATTTTTTTCGTGATCATAAAATTACGGCGTTACATTGAGTTGAAATTTCGCATGACGTCACGTTAGTGTACGTTTTCTACTCAACTGTGACGTAGCGAATCCCCACTCCTCAACTTTAATGCCTGTTATCTAAGCTATTTCCTGTTAATTTGAAGTAAAAAAAAATACGTATCTAATATTTTTCTATTATCTGACTGACGGACTAAATAGAATTGCATTTTTTTTTACCCAGTCATCATCCCTATTGTCTATTATGTAAATATAATATTACCGTGTTCATCATATCCCAGAGTCCGCTCAGTCGACTCGGATGATAAGTCATGTTCTTCACAACACCGAGAGCGTGAGTCTGCACCATCATCAAATCGACTTTCTTCATCAAAGTCCTCAGGTCGTAATATTTAGCCAGGAGTTCAGGGTGCGAGGGCAGCGCGAGGAACAACGGCCCGCCCCCTGATGCCTTGAGAGCTGACCGGGCGGCATCCACCATCTCGGATACTCTGGTCTTGTTGAGTGCCTTGTGAGCATCGTGGAGCTCTAAGCCTTGCACGTGTTTAGATTTGAGCCAGCCACTGAGGTCCTATGGAAAGAAAAGATTTTATTAACACTTTAAAAAAACAGTATCAGAAAAAGTCAAATATTGTATCTTATACTTTCCTATTTATCTATAAACCTATTTTAACACAAGTAATAAGACAAATTCAAAAAACAACAATTTTTTTTTTAAAGTCTCCCCATAAAATTTGTGCAAAAATCTGTTGGTCGAATATTGATTAGTATGAGAACAGAAAATATAGCCTATAGTAGGCTATAATCACTATAGCCTACTATACTGATAATAGGCTTAAAATTAGGTAAGGTACTTTGAAGTTATACCAATAGCAGAGAAACAGACAATTTTTTTTTACTAATAAACTCGTTCTTTTATTTTTTTGTAAACAATTAAAGAACGAGTTTATCAGTAAAAAAATGATCTACAGATCTATGAGCTATGCTCCTTCTAGTCAACTAGCACTCAACCTCAGAAAATCAGTAGATATTCGTAAGTGGCACTGTCGTAGGTATAATACATTATCTATAAATAAATTCATTCCAAACTAAGTAATAATAGCATAATATTCAGACCTGAAAAAATATAAAAGGAAAAATCTACATTGACCCGACCCGAGAATCTAACCCAGGACAGAAAGGGTAGGTACTTTGAAATAACGTTGAACTTAGATTCTACTAATACTATGATCTTACTTTTAGGCATAGATTCTAATACGATCGTGCTAAATTCTAAAAATAAACACAAGCAATACAGAGCACCATAGATAACCAGAACAATAGCATAGTGCATAGTGCAATCTCTTCATCAATTAATTTTGTTGACAATACCTTTTACGTGATACAATACGATTTGGCGAGCAGTTGACATTGAGTGCACTAAAACATCACGTATCGCTCGAGGCAGGACCTAAACTGTGATAAGCCAGTTTTAAAGTTGCGTAACACAGGAGTGTCAATGGTGTAGATTTATAATTTTGATAATACAGTGACGAATACACAGCTGTTATAGTTTTGCTCCACATTTGGTATGTTGTAATTTCTAGCGGAATCTTCATCGTTATTAGGTATATGGAGATATTTAACTTAACGAGAACTTAACACATTTTTAAGTTGGCTTTACGTTTTAAGTGATCTTCATTTGAAGCAACCTAATGCACAAATTCTAATGCAAAAAATAACTATTACATATTAGAATTATAAAAATTAATTGTCACTCTAGATAAAACCTTTTTTATATTGATAAAAAGAAAGATATGATTGTGTTTATTTGAATTGAATAAGTTCCAACTACTGGACTGATTTAAAACATTGTTTCATCTACGGGAATGACATGGGCTGTAATTTGTGGTTTTGCGACTTTGGCAGTAGATGAAGTAATTTTTGAGAAACATTTTAATAATAATAATAGTTTTATATAAAATGTATAAAATCGACGGAGCTCTCTACAGCCAAACAAAACCTGGTCGGTCGCATTTATGTTTCTTAAATCATTACCTCTTATTTTCCCGAACTTCTATACAGTTTTATTAGGAACAGACTGCAAAAAGAATACCCTTACTTGGTAAGCGTAACATGGTCGCGTATCTCCACGACACCGTATCAGTGACTAACCAGTTGTTAGGGCTGCCATATCACAAAAAAATATGCTGACTAAATATTTACTTAATTTTTTTTTATAATTTTACTAAGAAATATCATATTTTGAATAGAAAAAATAAATATATGATCACTTATGATGTCATAATGATATAAGAGTCGTGTAACTCTTACATTGCGGTTTCTTATATCGGAGATCTCGGTTTATGTCCAAGATGTATCCTCTTATGGCTATTAAGGGATTTAATATGAATAATAATTAAGGTCATATTTGGCAGCATTAAGCCCAATTCTTTTCTGAACCGCCAGTTTCTAGAGGGAAAAAAATAACGGGGTGTAATAGCACACCGCCGTATCTCGAGGCGATAGGCGGCAAGCTATTTCTCCCGCTCTAGCAAAAGATAATGCCAAGTCATGGAAAAGGATAGAACAACGAATAACCGTAAAATAAAACCGTCATTATATTTGTATATTAAAAATATTGTGTTATTCTATCCTGTGTCTACTTTATACTCGTTTACATTCACAAGCCTATAGCAAACATTGTATTTATTATATTTAAATCAAAATGTTACCATCAAAATATTAATTTACAATAGTCTTGTGAGAAATATATTGGAATATTGCAATGTGATAACACATTACGCCCTACACACTTTGCGCTTAGAACGTATACAGAAACGTTTCCTTTGGCACCTCTCTTTCTCGACGCATAAGACAAAACAGCTAAGATCGTATAATTCTGGATTTCAATTCTTCAGAATGGATTCCCTAGCATTACGCAGAGATCTCTTGGACATGCTTTTTCTTTACAAATTAATGCGAGGTAAAATAGACAATTCTAAATTACTATGTTATTTCCGATTTCGAGCCCCATCAAGAATCCCGCGTAGTCGTATCACACCTCTATGTCCTCCCTTAAAAAACAGTAGGATTTAAATTTGCCGGTTGTCAGACTTTCTAAAACTTTTAATTCCTGTAGCGATTTACATTTTGATTTTTACTCCGAATTCCACAGAAAAGTTCTAGATTTTCTAAAATATCGCAAATATAATTAGTATTGTTCACCTCATATAATAATATACATAATTCATGTATGAAAGAAAAATACATATTTATATGGCTTAGTACGTATGTATTAATATATTTTGAACATATATATAAATAAATAAATAGATAGATATTGTAAGCTCATTAACTCATTATGCATGCGGAGCTAACCTATAAGTGTCTATTGCAATAACTCGGAAAAAAGCAATAAATGTTATCAATAGTATGTATCATTGTAAACAGATGTTGGTGAGTCAAATAAATTAAATTAAAAAAAAATATATATTGTTAGTCTGGACTTTTAAAAGGTCCGGTTTTTTTTATATAAAAGTATATTAAAATAACTATTTTCACTTATTTTTCAAATTGTATAATAAGCTTAGATTTTGTATAATTTCAAACACAGTATTAAATAAACTCAACTGACATCCCTAGTTATATATAACCTTATTCACCGATGATTACGTCACATCTAGCTCTATTGTAATCTTAAATTAATAATGCAGCGATAAATACGCCCAGATTATTTTTGATCTGCTCTGAACATGAAGCTAATATCTATTATAGGAGAAAGCAAACAGTTATTACAACTTCCTTCTATAATATAATCAGCAATCTAGGCCTGGTGCAGAAATGTGCCCAATATTATTTTTGATTTTCCTATTTTTCTGTGCTTATGATTTAACGCACAGACAAATAGGAAAATTAAAAAAAACATTGATGACTAGCTCGATGGCGTAATGGTTAAGTGCCGCGGCCCGCGATCGTTGTTGTTAAGCAACTTTCGCAAGGGTCGGCCACGGGATGGGTGACCAAAAAATTATTATTTTGAGCTACTCCGTGCTACGGCAAACACGTTAAGCTATTGGTCCCAGCTGCATTTGCAGTTGTTAAATACTCCATTCGGCATTGAGCCTTGTCCTTGAGTGAGCATTGTCCTCGACCATCCATAAGGAAGGCCTAAGCCCCTGCAGTGGAAACGTAAAAGGGCTGATTATAATGATGATGATGATGATGATAAAAAAGAGGAAAGTTTTCTTTGTCTGCATTAATTGGACACCGACGTTATATAACTACGACGAGCTACATCATACGCGGATGATATAGGCTATAATTTACGTGGGTGAAGTCACTGGAAAACAGCCTGTATCTAAGTATAATTACACATAATTTTCCGAACTCTAATTGCCTTTTTTGGTTTTTCTTGTCTGAGCTTCTTCTTCTTTCTTCTCTAACCTGTCTCTACTGTATCGGTGTAAGCCTCGCTCAGCATTTTCCACTCATCTCGGCATTGAACCCATCCATCCATTTGGAACCTACAATACTTTTAACATCGTCTTTCTAACGCATCTGTGGTCTATCTCGAGGACGGTTATTTCCCCAAGGCCTCCACTTGCAGAGCTGTTTGCACCAAGAACTTTCCTTTCCAAGAGCTACGGGCAACATGTCATACCAATTTTACTTTAGGTACGCCACGCATTTTATTAATATACATGTGCAACTTTTGCCATTCCGTTTGCCGTTTTGCGGTCCATTTATATCACTCCTACCAGCTTTCTCTCTACTACCCTCTGGGCCACTTCCAATCCAGGCTTATTCGCCTTGAGTGAGTATTGGTAAGATGTATTGGTTGTATACACTGGCTTTTTGTTCCGCAATTGTAAATGTTGCCATATTTTTTTTTTTATTGTGATTGTGTCTAATAATATTGGTTTGAAGGTAGCTATACTCTTTATTAAAAATATAATCAACAGCTTAGTGTTATGTTATGTAAAAGGTCTAAAACATCAATTAAACTATATACAAACGCGATGAAACCGTTTAAAAGTCGTTTCATTTAATATAACATCGATAAACTTAAGACTATTACGAAAACTAGGCGAAGTATGAAACATACCAATCTAATTAACATAGAGTAGCAATAAATCTTAGTGAACGTTTGCGGTTATTTGCGGCCGGGGATACGCACTTAGGTAATTTAAATTGCCCACAACGAATGTGTCGAATGCATAATATTAAAATACGAATATACGTGCAAACACATTGCAAGAGCTCCAGTTAAAGTGGGGTTCTACTAAAACCTGAACGAGTTTTATTTTCAAAAGTTGCTTAAAAATTTGCGAAAAAGAAAAGAAATTACTATTGTTAAATTTAAATCCTTTTAAATTTATTAAATTCTTGATAAAATCACGAATCTTTGATGAATTATGATTATTGATAATTTATTTTTTATTATCATCTTTTGTGTAAAGATTTATTTATAACTTTTTATGTAAGGTAATTTGTTCTATGACCAACAAAAAACCAACTTGTAATTAATGTCCCTGTAATTAATGGGAATTATAAGCTTAGTAGTGACTACCGCAGTAAATTATACTCTTTATAAACCGAGTAACCGCTTTAACTGAATATACCTACATTATTGTTATTTTTAATATTGGAAAATCGTGTTGACCGGTGATTATTTTAATTCATCGATTTAAAATTAAATGGATCACCAATATCATGAGAACTGAACTCGAGAGCAAAGAAAATATAATAATATTTCGATTGATATCTCAATTTTTTAAAAGAAAGACTAATAATCAAAAGTTTTTATAATATTACTGAAGCCATGGAACGTGATAAATTATTTTAATGTGCTGGGATTATGTATTTAAAATTACTGTATTAATATGTCTTTTAAAATTAATACGTTTTTTATTTATTTATTGTTTTGTGTTTGACCATATATTTTATTCTGACCTAATTTATTTGCAGACTTTATTCTGAATGATTTTGTATTATTTTGTAAACTGACGTATATAAGTGCCTATATTGCCTATAGACGAATAAATGAGTATGAGTATGTAATATTCAATCTAAATAAAGCTATATTAACAGGTCCACATCATGACTATAACAAATGATATATGGCCTCCTTCTGTTACTTATTACGGGCACAAGTCAAGTGCTGGCGTTGCGACATAACACATAAACATACTAACCGCTCTATTTATATATGTATCAATAGATATACTATATGATCAAAACAACTTATGGCCTAATCCATATCCATTGTTTTGATTTGACGTTAGTTACCTGTGGAGTTTTTCTTTTGTTTTTTTTTCTCTTTCTTTCATCTATATCCTTTCTTT